GCAGATAATGAAAAAGGTCACACAATTTGTATAATGTCTGTAGCCAAATTTTCAGCAAAATTAAAATTTTAAAAAAATCATAGAAAATCAACCAAGCAACCAAATTTAATTCTGAAAACGTTTTTGATGTTGTAACATTTAGTAGATTTTGTGCTATGAAAATGGTAGACATCCAACCAATTTGATTTTTTTTGTAACGTACCTACATTAGTTAGGTAGACAGGGGGGCCTGCCTATAGTAATACACCGGCGAAAAATATAATAAGACAAAAACGTAGGATATGCCTTGGCTTATGCCCCTAGCCAGAGAGTTAACTGGCGATCCAACGCTAGTTCAAGAAACTAGGCCAGCATACGCTTAAACAAGAAGGCCTACCTAGGCCTACGTATCTAGGCCTATCTAGGCCCTAGGCCCAGGGAATGCAATGGTTTTGGCCGCGAATTAGGCCTAGCACAGTAGTATAGTTGGTGAATTCAACAACAGTTATTCACAAGTATAAATTACTTACTTTTACTTCACTGTGACTTGGCAAATTTTCTTAGGCCTATGAATTTTCCTTCCTTTACACTCGCTACAAGACGACGGCACTAGAATGGGCGCTTCGTTTGTGAATTCAAAACTTGAAACGGGACACCGGAACTGCCAAGGCAGATAGTTCATTGGCTTAAGTCCGATGGTTCGATCATCGCTAGCTAGCTTCATTCAAACTGATATTTCTACTGAGCATGCGCACACACTTATTAAGTAAAAAGTACCGCAATGGAGCATTCATGTCATAACTGTAGCTACGTATAACGTCTTAAAAATACAGTATAATTAACAGTGGGTCAAAGGGGAATCCAGGGCATAATTATCTGCCCAGGTATGTGGCATGTGGGGCCCATGTAGAATGAACATAAGAATGGCCATGCATTTTCCCAGATATTTGGCACATGGGCCCCATGTGGCGTACATGTGGGCATTTCCATATTTATCCATATGGGGCTATATATGTAGAGTAAACACAGGCACAAATATTATTTCCTATATATTTGACACAATAGGCCCTATGGGAATTTGGCATATAGGAATTTGGCATATTGGACCCATGTAGATTGCAATATCAATTTTCCCAGATATTTGGCATATGGGTCACATGTAGATTAAATGTGGCCATTCCCAAAGTTATCTTCCCTGTTATTTGGCATATGTAAATGTGTAAATTAAACACTAGCTTAAGCCCATGTATTTCCCCAGCTATTAACATATGGGCCCCATGTGGAGTAAATGCGGGTATTATTTTCATAATTATCCGCCCAGTTATTCGGCATATGGGGCCCATGTAGATTGAACAAGAGCATGTCCATATTTATTTTCCCAGATATTTGGCACATGGGCTCCGTTTGGATTAATGTGGGAATTCCCATAATTATCTGCCCAGTTATTTAGCATGTGGTGCCCATGTAGACTGAACATGTGCATGCCAATATGTATTTTCCCAGATATTTGGCACATTCAACACATGTGGATTAAATGTGGGCATTCCCATAATTATATGCCCAGTTATTTGGCATATGGGTCCCATGCAAATTAAATATGGGCATGCCCATATGTAACTTCCCATATATTTGGCAAATGGGCTCCATTTAGATTAAATATGGGCCTTTACTTGCCCAGATAATTGACATATGGGTCCCATGTTTATTATATGTGGGCATGCCCATAAGTATTTTCCCAGATATTTGGCACATGGGCCCAATGCGAAATTAATATGGGCATACCCATGTTCAACTACGCAGGTCCTTAGCATGTGGGCCACATGTAGATAAATATGGGCATGCCAATATGTATTTTCCCAGATATTTGGCACATGGAACCCATGTGGATTAAATGTGGGCATTCCCATAATTATATGCCCAGTTATTTGGCATATGGGTCACATGCAAATTAAATATGGGCATGCCCATATGTAACTGCCCACATATTTGACACCTGGGCTCCATTTGGATTAAATATGGGCTTCCCATATTTACTTGCCCATGTATTTGGCATATGGGTCCCATGTATATTATATGTGGGCATGCCCATAAGTATTTTCCCAGATATTTGGCACATGGGCCCAATACGAAAATAATATGGGCATACCCATATTCAACTACCCAGGTCTTCGGCATGTGGACCCCATGTAGATAAATATGGGCATGCCCATATGTATTTTCCCAGATATTTGGCACAAGGGCCCCATGCGGATTAAATGTGGGCATTTCTATATTTATCTGCCCAGGTATTTACCATATGGGGCCCATGTACTTTAAATATGGGCATTCCCATATATATTTGCCTATATATTTGGCATATGGGCTCCATATGGGTAANNGTAAACCATGGGCAAGGCCCATATGTGATTGCCCAGACGGATCCCATAAGGGGAAAATATGGGGTAGCCCATAAGACTTTTCCCAGATATTTTGCATATGGGCCCCATGTGGGATTGTTACCTGGGTTGGATTACGCATCCTCGGATGTTGCTGATACTAATCCTGTGACGCCCAATAGGTGCACCGTTATTGATGGGTCGACGTGATCCTTCATTGCCGTTTACCTATATTGATCAAAAAGAACAAGTCCGAAGTAACAAACAGTGGAGACACAGCCAACTTATTATCGACTTATTTTGGAAAAAGTTCGTATCCGAATATTTGCCAAGTTTGCAAATACGGCAAAAGTGGGTTGAGGAGGTCCGCAATCTACAAGAAGGTGACAAGGTTTTGGTTAGTGATAACCAAGCCCAGAGAGGTGACTGGCCTGTAGGAGTGGTAGTCAAAGTTCATCCTAGTGCCGATGACAGAGTCAGGATTGCTGACATTAAGATTAAAGATAAAGTGTATAAGCGCCCTTTAGTTTAATTAATCAAACTGGAGCAGTGGATGTAATATGTACTGTAGTGGGTTTATATTTGATAATATCATGTTGTAGTACATTATTATCGTTTATTTATATCTTTTTTCAAATGTTTATATAT